CTCTACTAAAATTAGGAAGAAATTAATTGGACAACTAAAAATATATAGAAAAAAATTAGCCAGGCATGGTGGCACATGCCTGTAGTCCTAGCTACTCGGGAGGCTGAGGCAGAAGGATTGCTTGAGCCCAGGAGTTTAAGGTTGCTGTGAGCTAGGCTGACGCCACAGTACTCTAGCCCAGGCAACACAGTGAGACTTTGTCTCAAAAAAAAAAAAAAAAAGATGTATGTGGATTTTTGTTTCTTTATCAATAGGAACGCTGCGTACAGATTGCTTATTTTTCTTTTGAAATATTTCCTCATGATCTACTCCCAAAATTAGAAATAGTGGGCTAAAAGCTATAAAGATTTGTAATTCTTCTTAAATACTGCCAGATTGCTCTGCAGTAAAACTGAACTGATCTAGAATTCCAGCAGTGGAAGAATGCTAGACAGTCTTTAGGAAAGATAACTCCTCCTACTAGGTCAGGATTTTAATTTCACACCGATTATCAGCATTTCTTCCAACTGCCGTGATGACATAAACAGGCTTCATGTAGACCTTCCCTACTTTTCAGGTGTAGGAATCGGCGTGGTCCATGCTGGGTACGAGAGACGCCTGGCCCATCACCTGGGAGCACACAGCACACCCTCTATCCTAGGAATCATTAATGGGAAAGTGTCCTTCTTCCACAATGCAGTCGTTCGGGAGAACCTACGACAATTTGTGGAAAGTCTTCTTCCAGGGAACTTGGTGGAGAAAGTAAGTATCTATCGAGAACATGGCTGAGAAGTAGCTTAAGAGGTGCCTGGGTCTGCTAATTGCCTGGGAGTTTATCTGTGGTCCTCTCAGAACTGAGTTTCATTTTGAGCAGGGCAAGACATATCAATGAATTACTCAAACCAAATCATTTAAATGAAATCTATAGGAGACTGAAAATTAAAACAGATGAACAGTAGAGACTGAAAGAATTAATTCCTATTAATAACCGTTTTATAGATTTTACACTGTCATAGGAATCTGGGCCTAAAAAGACAGTGACTATTTTCTAAACAACCAAAAAAATTAGATCACATAGTAGATAAAGGATTTCTTTCCAGCTTGTGAATTTGTTCACATGAAGGTATTTGTCTTACGAAAATATTCAAATTAAGTTATACTTGGTTATATATTTAATGATCATATCTATAAAATGCCAGATTGCATAAAAGCAATTACTTTTGGAATAACTTCAGAAGCTTATAGTGACACAACAATATGAATGAATTTCACAAAGAAAGTTTGAGCTAAAGAAACCAAACACAGAGTTCATATTAGTTTATGATTTTTATCTTTAAGCACCTAATTTTCTCCCTAGTATCTTAGTTTAGGGATCAAAGTGACTAGGAAAGGACTCTCATTTTGCTTTAAATAATTCATTCTTTTAACAATACC